AGTACAGTATATATCAGGAAATGATTTTGAAGAAGGAAAAATAAATGTGTTAATACTCTTCTCAACTGTATCGCGAATTTGTTCTCAAAACTCACTTACAATATATCATTTGTTAACTCCTTTCACCATGTTGACGCCACTTTTAATTTGTTAATGTCAGACAATTCTCATACAGCACAGAGGGGACCCAATACACAAGGGGTCAGTTAAGACATAAGTGAGTATCTTCTTCAGTTCTCACACTGTTCTTTACAACTGTAGATGGCACAGGTTTTAAAATGTCCAGTTTGTCCTGTGCTTTAATGACATACCACCACACAGGTAAACATGGTTCATAACGCTTAATTTAGTTGAGTTTAACCCATAAAAACATTTGAGGCCAATGTATGATTATCATATTGGAGTTCCTGTGTCTCCAGTTTTTATAACGACCAGGTGTGAGGCTAGATCAACTGGCAGGGGGGGGGGACCATCTGTAGCCTCACCTGTGTGCACGGAGGGGGGGGACCATCTGTAGCCTCACCTGTGTGCACAGAGGGGGGGGGACCATCTGTAGCCTCACCTGTGTGCACAGAGGGGGGGGACCATCTGTAGCCTCACCTGTGTGCACAGAGGGGGGGGGACCATCTGTAGCCTCACCTGTGTGCACGGGTGGGGACCATCTGTAGCCTCACCTGTGTGCCGGAGAGGGGGACCATCTGTAGCCTCACCTGTGTGCACAGGTGGGGGACCATCTGTAGCCTCCTGTGTGCACGGAGGGGGACCATCTGTAGCCTCACCTGTGTGCACGGAGGGGGACCATCTGTAGCCTCACCTGTGTGCACGGAGGGGGGACCATCTGTAGCCCTCACCTGTGTGCAGGAGGGACCATCTGTAGCCTCACCTGTGTGTCTGAGGAGGCCATCTGTACCTCACCTGTGTGTACGGAGGGGGACCATCTGTAGCCTCACCTGTGTGCACAGAGAGGGGGCCATCTGTAGCCTCACCTGTGTGCGGAGGGACCATCTGTAGCCTCACCTGTGTGCACGGAGGGGACCATCTGTAGCCTCACCTGTGTACAGAGACCATCTGTAGCCTACCTGTGTGCGAGGGGGACCATCGTAGCCTCACCTGTGTGCACAGAGGGGGCCATCTGTAGCCTCACCTGTGGCACAGGAGGGACCATCTGTGGCCTCCTGTGTACGCAGAGGGCCATCTGTAGCCTCACCTGTGTGCACGGAGGGGGCCATCTGTAGCCTCACCTGTGTGCGCGGAGGGGGACCATCTGTAGCCTCACTGTGTGCACGGAGGGGGATGTACCTCCTGTGTGCACGAGGGGCATCTGTAGCCTCACCTGTGTGCACGGAGGGGGGACCATCTGTAGCCTCACCTGTGTGCACAGAGGGGGCCATCTGTAGCCTCACCTGTGTGCACGGAGGGGGACCATCGTAGCCTCACCTGTGTGCAGAGGGGGACCATCTGTAGCCTCACCTGTGTGCACGGAGGGGGGACCATCTGTAGCCTCACCTGTGTGCACAGAGGGGGGGGCCATCTGTAGCCTCACCTGTGTGCACGGAGAGGGACCATCTGTAGCCTCACCTGTGTGCACGGAGGGGGGGACCATCTGTAGCCTCACCTGTGTGCACGGAGGGGGGACCATCTGTAGCCTCACCTGTGTGCACGGAGGGGGACCATCTGTAGCCTCACCTGTGTGCACAGAGGGACCATCTGTAGCCTCACCTGTGTGCACGGAGGGGGGACCATCTGTAGCCTCACCTGTGTGCACGGAGGGACCATCTGTAGCCTCACTGTTGTGCGGAGGCCATCTAGCCTCACCTGTGTGCACGGAGGGGGACCATCTGTAGCCTCACCTGTGTGTGTGCAGAGGGGGGACCATCTGTAGCCTCACCTGTGTGCACGGAGGCCATCTGTAGCCTCACCTGTGTGCACGGAGGGACCATCTGTAGCCTCACCTGTGTGTGTGGAGGACCATCTGTAGCCTCACCTGTGTGCACGGAGGGGGACCATCTGTAGCCTCACCTGTGTGCACGGAGGGGGACCATCTGTAGCCTCACCTGTGTGCACGGAGGGGGACCATCTGTAGCCTCACCTGTGTGCACGGAGGGGGGACCATCTGTAGCCTCACCTGTGTGTGCACGGAGGGGGACCATCTGTAGCCTCACCTGTGTGCACGGAGGGACCATCTGTAGCCTCACCTGTGTGCAGAGACCATCTGGCCTCACCTGTGTGCACGGAGAGACCATCTGTAGCCTCACCTGTGTGTACGGAGGGGGACCATCTGTAGCCTCACCTGTGTGTACGGAGGACCATCTGTAGCCTCACCTGTGTGCACAGAGAGGCAGGACTATCTGTACTAAACTGTACTGTATATATACTATACTGTACTATACTATACTATACTATAATAACTGTACTATAATTACTGTACTGTACTATCTATACTGTACTAGCACATACTATATATTATGCTATACTGTACTGTACTATAATATACTGTACTGTACTATACTACTATGCTGTATATGCATACTATACTGTACTATACTTATAATATACTGTACTGTACTATACTGTACATTGCTGTACTGTACTATACTGTAATGTACTATACTGTACTGTAGTGTACTATATTGTACTGTACTATACTGTATTGTACTGTACTATACTGTACTATACTGTACTATACTATCCTGTACTGTACTATACTGTACTGTACTGTACTGTACTATACTGTACTGTACTGTACTATGTACTGTACTGAATTTGCTATACTGAACTGAACTGTACTATACTGAACTATATACCATACTGTACTATACTGTATATATATATATCGTACTGCTCTATACTATACTTTACTGTATTGTACTGTACTAAACTGTACTATGTATATATATGACTGCTATACTGTACTGTACTATACTGTACTGTACTATACTGTACTGAACTGTACTATACTGAACTATATACCATACTGTACTATACTATCCTATACTGTACTATATATCCCTCTACTATACTTTACTATTGACTATACTGTACTATACTATCTGCTGTACTATACTATACTCTATTGTCCTCTACTATGCTTTACTGTACTATACTGTACTGTATATATGCTATACTATCCTGTACTGTACTATGCATACTATACTGTCTCTACCTTGCTTACTGTATTGTACTATGCTGTGCTGTACTGTACTATACAACTGTACTGTACTGTGCTGTACTTGCTATACTATACTGTACTGTACTATACTATGCTATACTAAACTGTACTATGCTGAACTGTACTATACTGTACTATACTTGAACTGTACTGTACACTGTACTGTACTATATGCTGTGCTGTACTGAACTGTACTTTAGACTGGACTTACTATACTATACTGAACTGACTTGTACTGTACTATACTATGCCGTTATCCTTATATACTATACTGTATATACTTACTGTACATACTATACTATACTGTACTATATATACTGTACTATACTCTATACTGAACTGTACTGTACTTGTACTATACTAACTACTTATGCTATACTGTGCTATATCTATACTGAACTGTAATGTATATATACTATACTATGCTATACTTCGATGTACGTAAGTATATACTATACTGTGCTATACATATACTGCTATGCTGTACTATACTATACTGTGCTATATGCTGTACTATGCTATACTGTACTGCACTATGCTGTGCTATGCTATGTACATACCTATATATACTGTGCTATGTATGCTGTGCACTAACATGTACTATGCCTGTGCTGTACTATACTGTACTGTACTGTGCTATGCTATGCCTGCTGTGTGCTGCTGCTGTACTGTACCTTTATGCTATGCTGTGCTATGCTGTATGTACATGCTGTACTATGCTGTACTGTACTGTGCCACTATGCTGTGCTGTGCTGTGCTCTGTACTATGCTGTACTGTACTATACTGTACTATGCTGTACTGTACTATGCTATACTGTACTGTACTATACTGTACTATGCTGTGTTATATATGCTATGCTGTACTATACTATACTGTGCTATACTATACGTGCTATACTGACTGTATGCTATACTGTATGTATACTGTCCTCTACTATACTGCTATACTATACTGTACTGCACTATTCTTTATACTATACTATACCTTGCACACTGCTGTACTGTATACTGTATCTATATCCTGTCCTCTACTATACTGTACTATACTCTACTGTACCTATACTGTACTATGCTGTGCCTCTTTTAACCTGTACTGTACTGTAGTGTATCTCCAGAAAATAACCAGCTGATAGCTTGATCAAGTCGCCTTACTGTTTACCTGTGTTGTATAGTGTCCCTCCTGGCACTGTACTGGCCTGGTATGACCCCATGGCCTATGTACTGTACACTGTAATGCATAGTTTTTACATTGTCTGTATTCACGCTGAACTGTATAACTGCATAGTTTATGCTTATCCAATTGTAAGGAGATTTCACATCTAACAGATCCTCGAAATAATGAATTTTCTCCTATATAGTACTGTACTGTAGTCCGTTAAATAAAGGTTTTCCTCAACTAAATCAAGGATGCACTCTACAATCCATTATGTTCGTTTTTCTTCTCTTTTTTAATTTAATTTTATTTACTTTATTTATTATTAGGAGTCTTTGATCTCAAGTACATTAGGCCCCCTCATGTTTATGTCATGCCATGATTAAATATCTTAGGTTATGTGCTAATACTCCTTTACCATATGTGTACATTAAAAGTGAAAGCTCCATATAATGGACTTCTCAACCTATATAATCCAATAGGTGGGGAGTTTCACATCTAATGGACCCACAATATAATGGTCTTTCATCTCTCTGTACAGTAGCTCGTTAGAGGGAAGTTTCACGTCTAACGGACCCACGATATAATGGATTTTCCATTAAATAGAGGTTTCACCGACACCTAACTCACGCAGTAATTACTATCGAAACAGCGACTAAGTTCCTTCTTGTACCTCAGGCATCAGTGGGGCGTTCGAGTCAGAATCAGACCTGCGTGTGTACTACCCTCTACGACTACGAGGCCCAGGGGGACGACGAACTCAGCCTACGTCACGGAGAGATCATCGAGGTTCTCAGCCAGGACGTTAAGATCTCGGGAGATGAAGGCTGGTGGACCGGCAAGATCAATGGCAAGGTAACCAGTCAGTCAGTCAGTCAGTCTAACAAGATGATCAAAAAGGGAAATTGCATAGATATTAAACTTAACTATTGACAGGAGATGATCGTGGGTTGCTTGAGGTATGGTGACTTAAAGTTTGGGCAACAGTTAGGTTAGGTGAGACAGTGGACTGGTGTGTAGTGAACCTGGTTAGGTTAGGTGAGACAGTGGACAGGTGTGTAGTGAGCCTGGTTAGGTTAGGTAGACAGTGGACAGGTGTGTAGTGAGCCTGGTTAGGTTAGGTAGACAGTGGACAGGTGTGTAGTGAGCCTGGTTAGGTTAGGTAGACAGTGGACAGGTGTGTAGTGAGCCTGGTTAGGGGTGAGGTGGTGTGATGAACCTGGTAGGGGTGAGACAGTGGACTGGTGTGTAGTGAGTCTGGTTGGGTTGGTGAGACAGTGACAGGTGTGTAGTGAACCTGGAAGAGACAGTGGACAGGTGTGTAGTGAACTTAAGAGGTTGAGATGGTGGACAGGTGTGTAGTGAACCTGGTTGGGTTAGGTAGACAGTGGACAGGTGTGTGTTCTGCCTGGTTAGGTTAGGTAGACAGTGGACAGGTGTGTAGTTCGCCTGGTTGAGGTTAGGTAGGCAGTGGACAGGTGTGTAGTTCGCCTGGTTGGGTTAGGTAGACAGTGGACAGGTGTGTAGTTCGCCTGGTTAGGTTAGGGGTGAGCAGTGGACAGGTGTGTAGTGAACCTGGTTAGAGAGTCAGTGGACAGGTCTGTAGTTCGCTTGGTTAGGTTAGGGTAGACAGTGGACAGGTGTGTAGTGAGTCTGTAGGTTAGGTAGACAGTGGATAGGTGTGTAGTGAACCTGGTTAGGTTAGGTAGACAGGACAGGTGTGTAGTTCGCCTGGTTAGGTTAGTAGACAGGACAGGTGTGTAGTGAGTCTGGTTGGGTTAGGTAGACTGGACAGGTGTGTAGTGAGTCTGGTTAGGTTAGGTAGACAGTGACAGGGTGTGTAGTGAGTCTGGTTAGGTTAGGTAGACAGTGGACAGGTGTGTAGTGAACCGATAGGTTAGGGTAGACAGTGGACAGGTGTGTAGTTCGCCTGGTTGGGTTAGGGTAGACAGTGGACAGGTGTAGTAACCTGGTTAGTTAGGTAGACAGTGGACAGGTGTGTAGTGAACCTGGTTGGTTAGGTAGACAGGTGGACAGGTGTGTAGTGAGTCTGGTTAGGTTAGGTAGACAGTGGACAGGGTGTGTAGTGAACCTGGTTAGGTTAGGGTAGACAGTGGACAGGTGTGTAGTAACCTGGTTAGGTTAGGTAGACAGTGGACAGGTGTGTAGTGAACCTGGTTAGGTTAGGGACAGTGGACAGGTGTGTAGTGAACCTGGTTAGGTTAGGTAGACAGTGGACAGGTGTGTAGTGAACCTGGTTAGGTTAGGTAGACAGTGAACAGGTGTGTAGTGAGCCTGGTTAGGTTAGGTAGACAGTGGACAGGTGTGTAGTTCGCCTGGTTAGGTTAGGTAGACAGTGGACAGGTGTGTAGTTCGCCTGGTTAGGTTAGGTAGACAGTGGACAGGTGTGTAGTGAGTCTGGTTGCCTTGTGCTACCCGAGGAAAACTCGTTAAGTTTCAAGTTACTCCCAGCGAGTTTTTTATCACCAGTAATATATTATATTTAAGTGTTTGTGACTTAGGTCGACGATCACTTCTGGGGATGATAACATTTAACTTTACGGGTTGTTATCTTTACTGGGGGTCGGTGAACATTGACACCCTCATGTTGTCTCGGTAAGGTTGTCATAATCCTTTGTCCGTTGTGTCGTATTGTGTCAACACAATTTTTGTAAAGATAGTTTTTTGAGTGAGTTTACTGTACCTGCTGTAGTGTAAGCTGTATAGAGTGAATTACTGTACTGGCTACATCTCATCTTCCTCTTCAGGTTGGGATCTTCCCGTCCAACTTTGTGGCGGAGGTTCAGAACATTAAGGATGTGGAACCCATCGAAATTGACTTCAATGACCTGGAATTGGAAGAGGTGATCGGGGTCGGGGGCTTTGGCAAGGTGTACCGCGGGATACTGAAGGGCGAGGAGGTGGCGGTGAAGGCGGCGAGGCAGGACCCGGACGAGGACATCAGTGTGACCATCGACAATGTACGGCAAGAGGCTAAACTCTTCTGGCTCCTAAAACACGAAAACATAGTTGCGTTAAAAGGGGTGTGTCTCGTGGAACCCAACTTGTGTCTAGTGATGGAATATGCCAGGGGAGGTTCCCTGAGCCGTGTCCTTCAACAAAGGAAAGCCATAGGCCCCTCTGTGCTAACGGACTGGGCGATCCAGATCGCTCGCGGAATGAACTACCTCCACAATCAAGCCCCAGTTAGGATTATTCATAGAGATCTCAAATCTTCCAATGGTAAGTACACGACTGTCGTCCTTTACTGTGATGCAAGAAACTTTTGCTCTTGTGACGTAATATGGTTCGCCTTAGACATGCGAGCTACTAGTGTAGTGTTAGTTAACTTGTGACTCACGCATCTAATATAAAGTGTAGCTGTTACTATGGCGGTGACACATTACAGTGGTATAACTGGAGGATGTGTTATTATAGGTGACACATAGTGTAACAACAGGAGGGTCGAGGAGAGAGGTAGGAGGATGATGTGCGAGGGGCGGTGCAAGAGGTATATAATGAGAGGCCAGGGAGGAAGAACATTTTCTACACCACAGCCTATTGGCCTCTCTCTCATCACCAGAAGTTCCCCTCTATTCATTTACCTCCTTCTGTTTATCATCCACTGGTGTGTGGTGTTGGGGGGATGGTGTGGTGTTGGGGGGGAATGGTGTGGTGTTGGGGGGATGGTGTGGTGTTGGGGGGGATGGTGGGGGGGATGGTGTGGTGTTTGGAGGTTACGTTTGGGTTTGGTTAAGTTTTGCTGAGAGGGAGCGTGTCCCTCCTCCCTTCTCAGTACCTCACCTTTAACTCTTCAACTAAAGTAATCAGCGTGTTTGTTGTTGTACTGTGGTTAGGTTACGTTAGGTTTAGTGTTGTTGATGTACTGCAGTGAGGAGATAACCCGTGTCACCAAACAGCGTCACAGTAGTAGAATCACCTAACCTCCTTCCAGATAACTATAGGGTGTTCATTCTTCAGGTGAAATAAGCTGGTGGCTCCAAGTGTTGACCAGATTATTATTATTACCTGTATTATTTTTATTATTAATAGTACTGTAGTAGTAATAGTATTATTATAATTAATATTATTCTTGTTATTATTAGAATTTATTGTTATTATTGATATTATTATTAGTAGTTTTATTATTATCATCAGTTGAAGTAGTATCATTATCAATATTATTTATTTGACGATGTACTATGTTATGGTGGGCCCAGTCTTGATCAATACAGTGCCTCCTCCACTGGTCTTATCACACACACAAACTTACGCACACAGGAAACCAAATTACTGGAGAGGAAAGAGAGAGAGAGAAAGATATTAAAACAAACAACAAGAGAGAGGGTGGGGAGGGATTCTGGGGTAGCTACAGTAATAACTCACTCTGGCAATTAACGCACTCACTGTGGATCAACACACTCTCTCTCTCTCTCTGTGTTTGTTTCATTCTCTCTTTCCTCTGTAATTTGGTTTCCTGTGTGCGTAAGTGAACTGTGTGTGTGTGTGTCTGTCTCGCGTGTCACAACGTGATTACCCAAACTGTTGGTACTTGCGCCCGCACCCACCACCACTACTACCGTGTATATATATATGTAAGGTGTGCGTATAGTGATGTGTGTATGTGTATAGCTTGTGTGTGTGTGTATAGTGTTGTTACGCCGTCTCTTAATTTACTTAAATATCCAGGTTCTAGGCGTAACCAAACAAAAAAAGTGAAGTAAATTAAAAGGGAATAAAAATAAATAAAGTAAAACCTTAAGAATTTAATTAATTAAATGTTAACACAATAAAAGAGCTCGTAGGCTGTCACAACAAATTGATTCACCATCGAAACTTTTAAGACTCAAATGATACTAAACATCGAAACATCAAAAGAATAATAATAAAGCATTGATTACGTTAACACTGCATAAACATGTAAACTAACACTGAAACAACACTGAATTACTTAAATGTAACGAAGCAAATACTGATGGACATAAATAGGTACTCACATAGATACACATTGGTGACGACAGGAACAACACAAATTAAGTATAAGTAACAAGTGACACTCAAAGGATGTGAACTGTATAACAAAGGACTGAACTAATCCAGTCAGTTGGTGGGTCCTATATATAAGGTCGGCACTGCCACACGCCCGGTGGGTCGTTTAACGATGCAGATGGTCGTTAGAGAACAAAGAACGCTACAATACAAATGGTTTGAACAAATAAAACAGTTAAAACTTAACAGCACAGGGTTAAGGTGACTAGAATATATAATAGTAATACAACACATCATTACAGGAATAATATGGAACATGGGAGCATGTTATATAACAAAAATAGAAAAATATTACACGGTCGTAAACAGTGTGTGTGTGTATGTGTTGTGTGTATGGTGTTATTATTATTGTATGTAGTGTGTGTGTGTGTATAGTGTTGTGTGTATGGTGTTGTGTGTGTATAGTGTGTGTGTATAGTGTTGTGTGTATAGTGTGTGTGTGTATAGTGTTGTGTGTGGTGTTGTGTGTGTATAGTGTGTGTGTGTATAGTGTTGTGTGTATAGTGTGTGTGTGTATAGTGTTGTGTGTGTGGTGTTGTGTGTGTATAGTTTGTGTGTAGTGTGTGTGTGTATAGTGTTGTGTGTGTATAGTGTTGTGTGTGTGTAGTGTTGTGTGTATAGTGTGTGTGTGTGTATAGTGTTGTGTGTATGTGTTGTATAGTGTGTGTGTGTATAGTGTTGTGTGTGTGTATATAGTGTGTGTGTGTATAGTGTTGTGTGTGTGTGTATATAGTGTGTGTGTGTATGTGTTGTGTGTATAGTGTGTGTGTGTATAGTGTTGTGTGTGTGGTGTTGTGTGTATAGTGTGTGTGTGTGTGTATAGTGTTGTGTGTATAATTGTGTGTGTGTAGTGTTGTGTGTATGGTGTGTGTGTGTATAGTGTGTGTGTGTATAGTGTTGTGTGTATAGTGTGTGTGTGTATAGTGTTGTGTGTATGGTGTTGTGTGTGTATAGTGTGTGTGTGTGTATAGTGTTGTGTGTGGTGTTGTGTGTGTATAGTGTTGTGTATAGTGTTTGTGTGTATAGTGTGTGTGTGTATAGTGTTGTGTGTGTGTGGTGTGTTGTATATAGTGTGTGTGTGTGTATAGTGTTGTGTGTATAGTGTGTGTGTGTATAGTGTTGTGTGTATGGTGTTGTGTGTGTATAATGTGTGTGTGTGTATAGTGTTGTGTGTGTATAGTGTTGTGTGTGTAGTGTTGTGTGTATAGTGTGTGTGTGTATAGTGTTGTGTGTATATTTGTGTTATTGTATGTGTGTGTGTATAGTGTTGTGTGTGTGTGTATATGGTGTGTGTGTGTGTATAGTGTTGTGTGTATGGTGTTGTGTGTGTATAGTGTGTGTGTGTATAGTGTTGTGTGTGTGTGTATATAGTGTGTGTGTGTAGTGTTGTTGTGTGTATAGTGTTGTGTGTGTATAGTGTTGTGTGTATAGTGTGTGTGTAGTGTTGTGTATAGTGTGTGTGTGTATAGTGTGTGTGTGTATAGTGTTGTGTGTGTGTGTATATAGTGTGTGTGTATAGTGTTGTGTGTATAGTGTTGTGTGTATAGTGTGTGTGTAGTGTTGTGTTTTGTGTAGTGTTGTGTGTATAGTGTGTGTGTGTATAGTGTTGTGTGTGTATAGTGTTGTGTGTGTATAGTGTTGTGTGTATAGTGTGTATGTATGGTGTTGTGTGTATAGTGTGTGTGTAGTGTTGTGTGTATAGTGTGTGTGTGTATAGTGTTATGTGTGTATAGTGTTATGTGTGTGTGTATAGTGTTGTGTGTATAGTGTGTGTGTATAGTGTTGTGTTGTGTGTATAGTGTTGTGTGTAGTGTTGTGTGTATGTGTGTGTGTGTATAGTGTTGTGTGTGTATAGTGTTGTGTGTATAGTGTTGTGTATAGTGTTGTGTGTATAGTGTGTGTGTAGTGTTGTGTGTATAGTGTTGTGTGTATAGTGTTGTGTGTATAGTGTTGTGTGTGCATAGTGTTGTGTGTGTATAGTGTTGTGTGTAGTGTTGTGTGTATGTGTGTGTGTGTATAGTGTTGTGTGTGTATAGTGTGTGTGTGTATAGTGTTTGTGTGTAGTGTTGTGTGTATAGTGTGTGTGTGTATAGTGTTGTGTGTGTGTGTTGTGTATAGTGTTGTGTGTATAGTGTTGTGTGTTATAGTGTATAGTGTTGTGTGTGTATAGTGTTGTGTGTATAGTGTGTGTGTGTATAGTGTTGTGTGTATAGTGCTGTGTGTATAGTGTTGTGTGTGTATAGTGTTGTGTGTGTATAGTGTTGTGTGTATAGTGTGTGTATAGTGTTGTGTGTATAGTGTGTGTGTGTATAGTGTTGTGTGTATAGTGTTGTGTGTATAGTGTTGTGTGTATAGTGTGTATGTGTATGGTGTTGTGTGTATAGTGTGTGTGTAGTGTTGTGTTATAGTGTGTGTGTATAGTGTTGTGTGTGTATAGTGTTGTGTGTATAGTGTTGTGTTTATAGTGTGTGTGTGTAGTGTTGTGTGTATAGTGTGTGTGTGTGTATAGTGTTGTGTGTATAGTGTGTGTATAGTGTTGTGTGTATAGTGTTGTGTGTGTATAGTGTTGTGTGTATAGTGTGTGTGTGTATAGTGTTGTGTGTATAGTGCTGTGTGTATAGTGTTGTGTGTGTATAGTGTTGTGTGTATAGTGTTGTGTATATAATTGTGTGTGTGTGTGTGTTGTGTGTATGGTGTATGTGTATGGTGTCAGGACAGTACAGGATATGTTAACACACATCTTAGCCCTAAACACTGGGGCAGGCAGCAGTTGTGTCCTGTCAGTTGGTCTGTAGTAGCCGGATGCTGGAGATGATGTGGCTAGTGGTGGCGATGGTGTGGCTCGTGATGGTGTGGCTCCTGGTGGTGTGGTTAGTGGTGATGATGGTGTGGCTAGTGGTGGTGATGGTGTAACCCTGGTGGTGATGGTGGCCTTGTGGTGGTGTGGCTCCTGGTGGTGATGGTGTGGCTTGTGGTGGTGTGGCTAGTGGTGATGATGGTGTGGCTAGTGGTGGTGCTGGTGTGGCTCAGTAGACACACTCAGCTCAACAGACACACTATTCCTTGACGCTGGGTCATGCAACTCGTTAACTTAGGGTGTGGTTATTGTGTTGGCGACAGCTTCTACACCTAGAACACTGGGTCATGCAACTCGTTAACTTAGGGTGTGGTTGTTGTGTTGGCGACAGCTTCTA